CTTCCGATCTCCTGGTAGTAGGACTCCATTTCCTTGGGAGCGCCATAGTGAATGACCCTGCGGACGTCCGCCTTGTTAATGCCCATTCCGAAAGCCACGGTGGCGACGATGCACTGCGGGACAACAGCAGGCTTGGTAAAGTCTGAGCAGCGGCCTTTGGGTAAGCACAGCGTGTTCAAGACCGAAAGTCTCCGGCTTAGAATTAGACACAGCGTCATCTCAAACACTTACGGATTAAATGACCACCTGTCAGTTTATAGATTAAGGGTCGGTGACTTTGAAGCAAGATCTGCTCACCCTCGGTTAAAAGGAGCAGACAGAGTGGCCTCTCTGAGTGCCTGTGACTGTAAGACACAGAAGAGGGCCTTTGCATACCTAGTACCTGAAGTGGAGCTTTCCTACCATCCGTGGCTTCAAACTCCATGCCATGGCACTCTTGCGGTCACGGAACACCCTCTGAGGCTGTCTCAGAGTCGGGGCACTCTTCACCTCTTTTTCCCTCACATCACCTTCAACCAGAATCATTTCACTTTGTTGAACCTATCAGATAAAATCTCACGAAATCGAAAATATAGTGCTCTGGACACTGTGACCATGACACTGAGCCCAGCCTGCCTCTTTGCAAGCTATCTCTAGCTGTCTGCAGCCGGCCAGCCCACTGGCACCTTCCGGGAGCCTGACAGGGCCCTCCTGGGTCTCCAGCCAGACCCTGTGCCATTCCTTCCCACGCTTCATCCCTCCAACCATCCCAAGCAGTGCCACCGTCCTGGACACAGTGTCCCATGTCAGGTGACCAGTACATGCTGACTCTTTGTCCCGGAAGTCTGTGACCAGTCTCTTTGCCCTCATCATCTGATGGCCTGACCTCCCTGAAACCCTCCTAGTCTCAGGCTCACACCCCATTCAGAGTGCCTCCTAGACAGATGGGTCATGACACAGCCTGCCCTGCCGGGGGCCTCTCTGTGCCCCGTGCACTGGTTCGGGGCAGCCGTGTGTCCTCGCCGGCGAAGGTTACTATATCCCACCTCCACACCGACACGGACTCTCCACCACAGGGAACCTTTAAGCTCAACACAAAGGAGGTACCCGGAGCATTCGGAAAACACGTTTGAGAGAGCTGCTTCCCATGCAGAGCCGACTGCGGCACACAGTCCTCACACCTGGACTTCGTCCCTCATGAACTTGTGGTGAGTCGCCCTCCTCGTGCCGCATGTCATGCCTGCATGGTACGTTCCACAGGACAGGTTCAGTTTCCTGAGCTCGGCTGTAACTTGCTCTGTCGCTCTTCTGGAAGGACAGTAGATGATTGTTGGACCTTCAAATTCCCAGTCAGAACTAAAGAAAAAGAAAAACAGAAGAACAACCACATATAACACACACAGATAGACATTTTCAAACCAGTTTGGGTTTTATAAGTAAAAGACTAAAAGAAGAAAGCACACTAAAAAAGATATTTAACTGCATAAAAATCTAAAACATTTTAGAGCATCAAATGTGAAAATGAATTGTGTTAATTCCCAAAAATATTTGCTTTCATTTTAGTTCAAATTAAAATTAAAATCAGAAACAAGTTTGCTTATTTTAGCAGAAGCCTCAATAAAAACTTATGAACTGGGGTCCAGTAGGTGGCGTGGTGGTTAAGGGTGCTGGACTCCCATGTTGCGGACCATGGTTTGAGTCCCCGGCCTGGTGGCTTGCTTTCTCACTTTGCCGCCTCTCGCTCTCTCGCTCTGTCTCACTCTTCGTCAAATTAAAATAAATAAATAAATAAATAAAGTTAAATAAAGTAATTCTTAAAAAACTTGTGAACTATTGACACAAATACTTTTGGGGATGCAAGACACTAAATTAATAATCAGTCTTAATTTTCATAAAAAACATAAGTGACCATCTACATAATGTGCAAAACATTTACGTTACACTGACCGTATTTGCTCTTATGATCAAAATGTTGAGTTTGAATGTCTGTTTCCTAAAAAGAGCATGAAAGGCAGCCCTGAGCCCAGTCCTTGAGCGCTGTGGGCAAGAAGTCAGACCCCAGGTGGCCAGCCTTGGCCTGAAGCCCAGCTGCAGCGTGACCGTGTGTGCTGTGTCCGGGTCCTGATGGGAAGGAGGGATGGAGGGAAAGGAGTCCAGCAGGACCACCCCTTGGGGACGCTCACTCTCCAACTTCCCTGCATGAGCCTTACTGCATAAGCTGGTCTTGACAGAGACCAAGCGGACTTTCATATTAAAAACTTCCGGTAAGTAGAGGTCAGCTCCACAGCCAGGTAGAATCTGATATATAATACGTATCAGAAACAAACAGCAAAGAGAAGAAAAAAGAAATGAAGTGAAATATTCAAAAAAGAGAAAAACAGTTTCCAACATTCATCAATCATTAAATCCTTACCTTGTCTTTTTGACAAGAAATTGTTTTAGATCCTGAAGGATATTCCCTGTTTTCCGTCCAACTTCTAAATACAGGTTTGGTCGATCAAAACTGGTGCAGGTGATCTGAGGGTCTGTCAGTTTCAAGCAGTTTACAATGTCTTCCCGGATCAGCGTCCCTGCAGTGGCCGTGAGTGCAACGACGGGGACCTGCATGGAGAGGACGGTTTTGCAAAAGGAAAGCGTGCGTTCATCCCCACAGTTCTCCCTTAGGAAGAGCCGGCGAAGACAGCTCCGACGGGGAGGGTCTAAACTGCCACCTGGAAACATGCTTCAAATAGAGAAGCCAGAACTGCCTGCTCCCTTGACTCTCAGCCTCTGAGTATAACATTCACCTTTTCAAAGATCAGAAACCCTCTAAGTCATGTTTCCAAATGCAGCTTAATGAAATCTTACTTCATTACTAGCTATCTACATCTCCATTTTCGACTTTTAGATGCATCGCACTTGAAATGGTGCTGACGTAGCAGGGTGTGCATCTCAGTGCATTTTTGTTGAACTAGAGCTCACAGGTTCCAGGGCCCCTGACCCTCCCCAAGTCTGTTAGTTACGCCCTCCTGGACTGTGTGTGTGTTTACAGCTTCCCTCCGTCTAGAAGCAAAACACCCAATAACCCGGAAAAACTGCCCAGTTTGAGGTAATCACGTCATTTTATATGCAAGCTGATGTCCCTTATCCAAAGTGCTTAGGACCAAAAGTGCTTCGGATTTCCAATTTTTTTCAAATTTTGGGTACTTTGCATATGTATGAGACGTTTTAGAATAGGACCCGGATCCTAATGTGAAATTAATTTCTGTCTCACAGACACCTTACACATAACCTGGGGGTGGTTTTATACAACACTTTAAAACAAGGACTGTCGCACGAGGCCAGGTATGGAACCTCCCTCCAGAGACGTCATAGCAGCACTCACATTTCAGATTACGGCGCTTGATGCGTGTGAGAAACCAGCCGGCCACGAGCACGTCTTAACGGGTGCCTGTAGCGGTCACGTCCGTCTATTCCCATCTAACAAGGACCTGTTGGCTGGATCAGTGGCCAAGCAGGAGGCAGGAGGAGCCAGGAGCACAGGAGAGGTGCCTGCTCGGACGCACCGAGGCGGAGCCCCCACGCCTGGCTCGCTGGAGCCAGCATCACTGCCATCGCTCTGGGCGTGTGTCTTCTCACAGACAGAGACAGCCTGGGTCTTAAAGTCCCTCTAATCACTGGCTGCTCTGTTGCAGAGAAAACAACTTTCTTTAAAAAACAAACAAACAAACACAAACAAAAAAACGCCTTTTTGGCCTATTACAAACACAGAAAAAGCCTTCAGAAAATACTTCTTCAGACACACTGCATCAACCACAAACCAGCTAAAGCAGTCGCCTCTGTGTAAGTGAAAAGTTATGTACAATTTACTAATTTGTAAAAAAAAAAAGTACAGAATTTGACTTAAAATTAAAACAAGGTACAATTTATTAAAAAGTAGCTTTAGGATTATTACAGCTTTACAGACTTAAAATTCTCTCAAAATCATACACACACAAACAAACCCCAAAAAAATAAAGTTTGAGAGTAGCTTTTTTCCAAAAGAAAAAAACTAAGTAAAAGCCAATGAGACCACATAGTTGGTATAATTTTTTCATTTTTTTATCTGTAATTCCTGTGAAACTACTTTAAAAAGAATCTTGGTAATGCTAGTGCACACACAGACTTCATGTTCTTATAATTCAGAATGCCTGTGTGACACCAGAATGAACAGGCTCATTAAAAAGTTAGTTCTAGGGGGACCAGCAGTTAGCGTAATGGCTATGTTGCTGGACTCCCATGTAGTCGACCGCAGTTCATGTCCCGGACCCGGTGGCTTAAAACTCACGCCGGGCGCCGTGTGCGTGTGTGCCCAAGATCCCGAGAGGAGAATGGAGGAGAAGGGATTGCAGCGTGGCCATCCCTCCTGGGGGGGTGATTTCTCGCTTTCTGTCTCTCTGTCTGTCTGTCTGCTATAGGGCGAGCACATGCGCCCTATAGCAAAAACCTCTCCAAAAAAAAAAAAAGTTAGTCCTAGGGACCAGTAAGTGGTGTGGTGGTTAAGGTGCTAGACTCCCACATGGCTGACCGTGGTTTGAGTCCCAGACCTAGCAGCTTGCTTTTTGACTCCTCTTCCCTCCCCCTTCTGTCTTTCTCTGGTCAAGTTTAAATAAAATAATAAATAAAATTAAATAAAATAGTTCTTCATTAAAAAAAGAGTTCTGCCTGGCCACCCTGGCATCCAATGCTGAGACGTTAGGTTCCACAGGCTGGGACCACAGTGTGGCCTAGGTTTGATTCCCACTCCAACCCAAAGGCCAGGTGTGGTGGCGTGGCGGCGTGGCAGCGTGGCGGCGTGGCGGCATGTGCCTGCAACCCCAACAACTCGGGGAGGTTGAGGCAGAGGGATGGTGAGCTTAGGGCTGGCCTGTGTGACATAGTAAGAGCCTGCCTGAAAAGGGCTGGGGAGCTGGCACACGCCTGGAGTCCACATGGGAGGCTGAAGCAGGACTGTGACGAGGAGAGACCCTGGCTTAAGAAAATAAACAGAGGGGCCAGCAGGTGGTGTGGCAGTAAGTGACTGGACTCCTACGGGGTCAACCACAGTTCATGTCCCGGACCTGACAGTTTACTTTCTCATTTTTCTCTCTCTGATGAGTATGCATGTCCTATAGCAAATTAAAAAATAATAATTATAAGTAAAATTAAATGTATAATTCTTAAAAAAATAAATAAATAAACAAGGGCTCAGTCAGAATGTGGTATGGTGGTTGGGGCACTGGACTCCCACAGGGCTGACCACGGGTTCAAGTCTCAGATCTGGCGGCTTGCTCTCTCACTTTCTCTGAGTACACATGCCCTACAGCAAATTTTAAAATAAGAAGAAGAACAATTAAATAATTCTTTTTTAAAAATAATACACAGGGGCCAAATGGTGGTACAGGGAAGAAATGTGACACTCTCAAGGCTGGCCGGGGGGGGCAGAGACTTTGCTATAGGGCGCGTGGGCTTGCCAGAAAGACAGAGAGACAGAGCTGGCTGGAGCTGGGGCTGAGTCGGAGTGCCCAGGCCCTGCTACGCATCCTGTCGGTCTCTCTCACTTGTGAAAGAAGAGAAATAAACTTTAAAAAATAGTAACAATAAATTGATTTTTTTTAAAAAGAAGTTAGTTTCTCATCCAAGCCTTCTGTGTTAGCATGCAGGTAACCAACAAATGTAAGACTGGGACCAGGGAAGCTTAAAATGGCCAGTCCCTGCGACAGGGCTGTTCTCCACCTCACGACGACAATGACCTTCATGCGCATGCTTTAATCACGCGGTTTATGAACATGCCGTAACATACTTGTTCAGCTGCAGACAGAAGTCTCCAGGGGGCAGCTTTAAGAAAAGAGGGTTCGGGAACCAGCAGTTAGCGTAATGGCTATGTCGCTGGACTCCCTCGTAGTCGACCGCGGTTCATGTCCCGGACCCGGTGGCTTAAAACTCACGCCGGGCGCGTATGCGTGCGTGCCCAAGATCCCGAGAGGAGAATGGAGGAGAAGGGATTGCAGCGTGACCATCCCCCCTGGGGGTGATTTCTCACTTTCTGTCTCTATGTCTCTCTCTGTCTGTCTGGCGAGTGTACGCGCCCTACAGTGAAAATCTCTCAAAAAAAAAAAAAAAAAGAGGGTTCAATTTCGTCGAGCCGTCTATGTGCGGACAGACAAAATGCATTTATGTAAGAACAACCACGAAACAAGACGCATCTTCAACAAGTTAGACAAAGCAGGCAGAAGAGCAGCTCTGCAGGGAACAGCGTCTGGAACCCTGCAATCAGATCCCCCGGGCTCAGCCTTGCCTCTACCTTGAGGGCTGAGATTCTGAGCTGACTAACCTTACACGCCGGGCTCCCATTTACTGAGTGACCGCGGCCGCAGGAGTCTCCAAGTCAGCACTCACAGGATAAGGCCTGAGGGAGTGGCGGCCGTGGCCGCACAGAGAAGCCTCGGTCCCCACTGGACTCGTGTTGTCCAAGCACCACGACAGACGCCAGAGACACGGGTGTGCCACGCTCCCCAGAGACTGACGAGGGCTGATTTGTCCTCAGAAGCGAGGTGGACGGGCTACAGAGGAAAGACTTAGATCCTCTCAACTAAGCTCTGCCCACTGTGCTGGGGTCCCTAAGTCAATGCCCAGTGCCGGGGTGTCACCAGGTTCTTCCCTCTGCCTTCAACGTCCCAGAAAGTCAGTTAAGAATGTTGCTTCTTGGTCAGGACCACCGAAGACTCTCTGCCCAGACTTGACCGGCCTGTCCCCAGACCCAGCCACGGAAGCCAGGAGAAGCCAATCAGCAGCCATCTGTATTTGAGTTCTGAGTGGCCCCATTCAGGGATCGGAACCACCGAAGACCCTCTGCCCAGACTTGACCAGCCTGTCCCCAGCCCGAGCCACGGAGCCAGGAGAAGCCAATCAGCAGCCATCTGTATTTGAGTTCTGAGTGGCCCATTCAGGTGTCAGGACCACCGAAGACCCTCTGCCCAGACTTGACCAGCCTGTCCCCAGACCGAGCCACGGAGCCAGGAGAAGCCAATCAGCAGCCATCCATATTTGAGTTCTGAGTGGCCCATTCAGGTGTCAGGACCACCGAAGACCCTCTGCCCAGACTTGACCGGCCTGTCCCCAGACCGAGCCACGGAGCCAGGTTAGCGCACCCTACTTACTCCCTCTGCCCTGTCTCTCTATTTACATATTTTAATTTTTAAACTTTTTTGACCAGAAAATAAACACCAACTTTATTAAAACACTAGCAACAAAGTGTTTCCAGTTTTTCAGAAGACAACAAGCACCCAGCACCACCGGGTACACCACCACAGGGAGTGCCCACATGTGCTGCCCAAGGGCTCCCCACCACCACTGGAGGCTTCCCAAAGACAAGCGCGATCAGAAGAGCTGCGAGGACACGGCTCACGGTGGGGAGCTTCATCATCAGCTCCTCAAACAGCGGGCTGCATGACGGTATTCCTGTTCAGAAGCTCTCGGTGGAGGGTATCCTGATACGGAGAACAGAGCCTGTTTTCCGAGCTCAAGAAAAACCATGACCTGATCGACTTCTGCTACAGCCTGCCCAAGTGCTCAGTGCAGCGTCCTTGTCCACTTCTGCCACGTCTGGGTGAGGGCCAGAGAACGGTGGCAAGGTGCTGGCACTTGGCAGGCGATTCTGGTGATGCTCTGGGCTCGGATCCCTTCCGCTGGGAGAAGGAGGCGTCTTTTCTGGCAGCTGCAGCAGTGTGACAGGGGAAGGAGGGCCACCCACCAGTCACCTCTTCTCAAAGCCGTATTTTTTGCGTTCATAGAAGAGATCTGTCTTAGAGCTCCCCACATTGACCACCTTTGGGCATCCATCTCCACCCTTCTCCTGGGTGGGGTGCTCCTTACAGTGCTAGGCATCAGAGATGTCGGGGCCTCCACAGATGACCCACCACCCCTGGTGAGAGCCGTAGCTGCATCCGTCATACATGCACGCCGGGGTACGGGGACACGCATAGGAGCGGGTCACACACCTGCCGTCACATTCTCGCGCAGTCTTCCAAGGGCTACACCAGCCTGCTTGCGGCAAAAGATCAAGTCCAGGTGATGTTTAGCCATAGTCCCAACCAAGCCGGCCACTGGGGAAAATTTTACTTCCCAGCTCTCATCCTCACCTTCCCCCTTCCCCCACAGGATCGGTCCATCGGCAGCCATCTGTATTTGAGCTCTGAGTGGCCCTGTTCAGTTTTCATTTTTTGTATTTTTTTTTTCTCTTTTTTGGTTTTCTTTTTTTCCCCTCTTCCTCTTCCTTTTACCTTTCTCACTTTTCTGCTCAGCCCCTACAAGGTCTGGGTGCTCAGTAGCTGACATCTGCACACTTTGGGGGTCAGATTATTCTCAGTTTTCATTGAATCAGCTGCGCAAAGGGAGAAAACGGTACTGCTGAGAGACTGCGCGTTGCCTCGCCCTGCATTCCTCTGAAAGCTCAGATTTATCTCCAAAAACTAGGGAAAAACACACATTCCATCAGATGACCAGAAACCACCACAGAGGCACAAGGAATAGGAGGAACCAAGAAAATATCTCTCCCCTAAGTGAAAAGAATAACTCCTCTTCGTCCAGAGAATATACGCGAACTCATGGAAATGTCAGATAAAGAACTGAACGTAGTGACAGAGATCTCTAACAGAGATGCAAGAGAAGAGAGATAACGAACTCCAGAAGGTGTAGAGACCCGAGAGAGGACTGCACAGTGTAGACCTGAGAGGAGGAAGGTGAAGACACGATTAAAGGCATGGATAATCTGTTCCATGAAATCCTGGATGAAATCTTTCCATATCTAGAGAGGCACTCAAATATCTAGTTCCAAGAAATACAAAGGACCCCACAAAGATTGCATCCAAGATCTTCCCCCAGGCATACGATAGCCAGACTGACCAAAACCACAGACAGACAAGATACTAAAATCTGGGAAGAGAGAAATGTGTAGTCACCTACAAAGGATATTCCTTCAGGCCAATGTCAGACCTCTTGTTGGAAACAATGCAAGCAAGAATGGGAAAATATGTTCAAAGTATTAAGTGAAAAACAATTTCAACCAAGAATATATACCCAGCAGGATTATCCTTCAGATGGGAAGAGAAGCCTGAAACATTCTCAGATAAACAAAACCTGAAAGAATTTATCAACACCAAGCTAGCTCTTCAAGAAGTGACCAGCTGTGCGGCCCCCTCATTACGGCACGATCTCCACTCATGAGATTTATTCTCTAAATCAACAAGCCATTTCTTCACTAAAATACACCCACGTTTTATGAAAACAACCAACCAATTATAATCTTGTGACTCTAAATTTATTTTTTGAATTTAAGACGCTTTAAAGTTCTTATTATGTCATCCACGAGTGAGAGACAGTCATACAGGAACCCCCGCAGGGTTGCTGCCATGATGCCCCAGCTCGGCCAGCCCCAGACCACAGAGACCCAGAGCCTCCCACGGTGCTCAGGAGACTCTCAGTCACACAGCACTCCCGGCTGAGCGCTGTGGCCGCTCGAGCGCCCCAAGCAAAGGGTCTGGACTCGCACCACGACTACAGCCACCAGTGCACTCACGGCTCCCTCCCGAAAGCTGAGTGTGGCGACGTGCCGACCAGGGTGACCGGTGCTGGTGGGACGCTGTGGAGAACCCACATAGCTGCCCCTGGGTCTCACGGCAACTCGACCTGGGCGGACGGTACGTAGACTGAAGCAGCTTTCGGCCTGGCTGCTTTCTCAGCTGTCACTTTGTCTGATTCCCTCCAGATGGTGCAGAGGTCACGGCATCGAACAGTTCAGTGGCCTCTTGTCTAATTTTGAACGTCCTAAAATGTACTAAAGCATCCCAGGTATACACGAGCTCTACTCCTGTAGCTGGAATTAAGAGAAAAAGGCACCAACAGAGACAGGAGTGATGCGCCTGCAGCCAGTAGGTGGCGCTGCTCACCCCTCCGCTCACGAAGGCTTCTGAGAGCTGGTGGACACTGTCCTGGAGGCTCAGCAGAAGAACGCTGAGCTTGGCATCCACATGCTAAGATTTAACTCAACCTGAGAGTGTTAAGAGCTGCATACAACATCTAAAACCCCTCTTGCACAGTCTTCTGGGATCAAAGGCCTAGAGAAGATCCCTGGCTTCCAGGGCACACCTGAAACTGCCCAGGGAAGGGGGCCGGCCTCGGGGCGCCCAGTGCTCGGTCTTCCACCACAGAAACTGCTGTGACAGCGCGTCACTCTGCCAGCTTTCTGCCTGGCGTGCCACCTCACAGGCCACGGTCACTCCACACCGCTGCTCTGCTTGTGCAGGGCACACTCATCGCCGTGCGATCACAGCTCCTGGGGCCTGAGGGCAGCAGCTGTTTGGCCCCTTCCTCCGGCCGCTGGCCTCAGGAGCCAGCCTGGCCCCGCGCACTGCCGGGCGCTACTTCGAGTGCTGGCTGTCCCACCAGATCTCACCATTCAATCCCACGGTTATTTACTGAGCACCTACTACGAGCTAGGTGCCGTTCTAGATTTTACAAACCAGTCAGAACTCCCTCTGCACAAAGAACATTGTAATGGCATTCACAGACAAGAGACAAAGTTGTCTAAACATCAGCAAAGGGGACAAACGGTGGCGCAGTGGTGACAGTGACACCGAGTACCCTGGGCACACGACCGCCAGGACCTGGTCTGCTGAAGGCCAGGAATGGACCGCATTGTCAGGACATGCTGGGGTTCTGTCTGTCCGTCCTGCTCCCTACCTCTAACTCATGGAGGAAATAAACTTAAAATAGCCAAGAAATACTGACTGTTAAAAGCTGCGGAGAGGGGAGTTCCTTCGGCTTTCAAACTGAGCAGCCCAAGAGGCCTAAATAAGGAAGAAGCGCCCAGGCCCCGCTGGGTGGGAGGCTGGGAGACTAGTGCTGAGGGACAGGATGGAGGCCACACGCGGCCCTCAGGCCTGTGATGTTACACTACAGCCATCTGGGCGAGGTGTGCCAAGTGAAGTGCCACAGTGCTCCCGACAGGTCACTGCCAACGGAGAGGGAAGCCCAGGTTAGATTTTTTTTTTTTTTTTGCTATAGGGTGCGTGCACTAGCTGGAGACAGAGATAGGTGAGAGCAAAAGTGAGAAATCCCCCCAGGGAGGATGGCCACGCCGCAGTCCCAGGTCCCAGACTGGAACTGTAGACAGCCACATGGCCGGCCAGTGTCCTCACCGCCATGACACCTACTGGCCCAGGTCAGAATTCCTGACGACCCTGCCTCGGGCAGAGCACTTCACAGAGAAGCCTCAGGGCGTGGCCTCTCCTGACATAGGACTCGCCTGGGGACAACCACGCGGGACCAGGCAGAGCTTACCAGTGGAAGTTTCGTCTTCAGGGAGCCCAGAGTCCTGAACGAATTTCTAAAATCATGCCCCCATTCAGAAATACAATGAGCCTCATCCACAGCAATTAGTGTGATACCTACAAAAGAGAAAAACACAGAAGTGATGAAAATAATGTTCAACAGGAAAGAATAAAGATGGCAAAGTCAACACTAATCTCTTCTATTGGGTACACGTTCCAAAAGGAGAGTAAACGATGCAAATCAAAATGTTTGGTCCGGGGACTGCTCAGGGCAGAGCTGACTGCAAATGTGGGTTCACACAGAAACAGGAGCACGGGTGTCACCAGACAGCGCTGACCCCAAAAACCGTCACTAGAAACAAGAGGGGACGACCAGGTCACGAATAAGGGTCTAAGGAAGGGGAGCGTCTTCGTGTTAATTCAGACAACGTGGATACGGGGTCCCACTTCATCGTCGCTCCTCGTCCTCGGAGAAACAGGTCCTGCTAACCATCACTGTCCTGGCCACGGCTCAGGAACCAGCTGCAGCAC